TCCCTTATAAAAACCAAACCATCCCTCTTTCTCATAAATTTCTTGAGCACATGAAATAATATTCAGTCTTTCAACAGTCTTTTTTGTCCTCAGACAAGACACCATATTGTAATCGACGTCTCAACATTTTCAATGGTTGAACAGTAAATCTCGAGAATAATTCAGCCACAATAAACATGAAAGAATCCAATATTTCTTCTGTTTGGTCAGATCCCTCTGTTACACCTTCATCTCCTAATCCGAATAATCCAAAGAAGAACTTCATCGAACGGTACGAGCCAACCAATGTGGTAACTCTTATAATTCTTTGAAGAATTTTCAAATACCATCCACGATATAAGGCACGAAAACCTTCTCTTCTAATAATGCGATTCATGCACTCAATGGAACCATTTGGATCTCTCAACTCGGGATGAGACAGCCGATGTGAGCGAGGAGCTTGCATTCTCACAAACACTGTATCAAAAGGATACGAAAAGATGTCTGTAACCAATGAGGCTCCATGATAAATTAATTGATAGGTCGGAATACTTCTCTGTGTGGCTAAATCTCCACGTTTTGCAACGAGAAATTCTCTTCTCAAATCCAATGAAACCAATACATTACGAAGCACATAGGAATGAGTCCACTTCTTAAACATTCGTGCAACAAAGCCTCTGAAGAATCCACCGAGTCCTTCAATCCGATATAATTTTGAAAATCCTTCTACATGATTCGTCGGAGCTTTACTCTTCTCCACTTCAGTAGGCTCTAATATGATTTGATAACCCACAGCTCGAAAGAGAAAATTAAACACTCGATATAATGAGAAGGAAGCTATGAGAGAAGTACCCAAAATAAGGTCAAAGGTGTTGGAAAATTCTTGCTCTGCTGATTGGAAGGATGGAGGAGTTATGGTTGCTTGTGGTGGTGGTGGTGAAACCACTTTAGCAAACACCACAGGATCGGAGGATAGAGATGAGGAGGAGGACGATAAGGTTGGTGTTGTTGAATCCATCACGGAGAGTTTGAAAAAGAATAATTAGCAAAGAATGTATTGAGCTTTTGAATCAATCAAAATAGTTGGTGCTTCTAACTGTTAGAGTGCCGTCAGCAGTGGGATGATGAAAAGAAGAATTATACCTCCGATAAGATGATGATGGAAAATTGTTGGTCAAACGGAAAAAACGAAAAGCTCGAGGATATTTTTTTGAAAACACAAATTAGTTTTTCAATTTGATTGAATCGCGAAGATGAGAATACAAAAATATGAAGAATAATGATGGAATGAATTTTAAGCCTTAATATTTGTAATTATTGTTGAATCAATGGAGAAGCGCATGGTAAGAAATATTGGTGGAATGGATGCCACCTGTCACACTTTAAAAAATGCCTAAAAAGAACAGCAGAAAGAAGTCACACAAGCTTCATCATCGTCACTTAAAAAATCCTCCTCAAAATCCTATCTCGTCAAAGTCCACTTCGGAGAACCTCTCGATCACGATACTCTTCCAGAATTCATCATTCAAGCAATGGACTTTATATTAAAACATGCCAAAGACATTGAAGGCCTTTTTCGAATTTCCGGTCATGCCGGAGACGTTTTAAAATTAAAATCAAAATTAAACTCAGGAGAAGCTATTGAGTTGAGTGAAATTGAAAATATTCATAATGTGGCATCGTTGGTGAAGATGTATTTTAGGGAATTACCAAATCCGTTGATCAGCTTTGAGTGTTATGACATGTTCATGATTGCAGATTCAATTCCAGATTTCTGCTCGAGATTGGAATGTTTGAAAAAGCTGTTGGCTTATTTGCCACCAACGAATCAAATGTAGGTGGTGTGAGATTATTGATATATTTTGCTTTCATTCAATATATGAACAATGAACTCCATGGATGGAAATATCAATTGAATATTTAATATTTGGTTATTCATATTTGGTTATTTTATATTTGGTTATTGAACATTTATGTAATGATATTTTCATTTATTAGAATATTGCAACAATTATGTTTATTTTTAAGTGAATTAGCAAAAAACAGTGAAAAGAATCGAATGAATATAGAAAATTTGGCAATTGTCTTTTCTCCAAATATTTTGAGAGCTCCAGACAGTAAACAGAAAGATCCACTTCTCGTGTCACATCCTTTTCTGGAGAGTCAAGAACCATTATCACAAAGCGAGTATGTTTTTTAGACAATTATGAAAAAATTTAATATTATTCAACATTATTATTATTATTATTTCTCACATGTGACACGAATATTCATTTTAACCATAATTCGTATTCGTCACATGTCATTTTATATACTGAACCCACAGAATTTTACAGAGCTACAAATCAGCACAAAGTATTGTCAAATCTCTCATTGAACACGTTGATTACTTTTCAATAGTAACATTATGAACTTTCAGGAATTTATGGAACACAAATCTACCAGTCAAATAAGACAACAAGGATCTGCTTCGTCCACCAATGATCCTCAAACAAGTATAAATCTCACTTCACCTATTCAAATGAAAGTTTCAGAACAAATATTTGGAACGAGCGCTCAAGAAGTGACTTCAAGTGTGAAACTATTAAGCGAAAAAATTACACAACAAATTCAAGATTCCCATCCATTCAAATAATAATTAGCATGTGTGTGAAATGGCTGTTTCAAGTATTCATTCAAATTTGCAAAATGCAATCAAATTTCATGATCAGACGACACTTTTCATCGAACCATTCTTTCATTTTCAAACCGATCTTTCGAAGAATTTTGATCTGGCAATGGAGTCCCTTATGTCTCTGGTAGTGGTGCTGGTGGTGATCATGAAAGCTCTGTTCCACAATCAAAACAAAATTATTAAATTATTAAATTATTAAAAAAAAAAATTGAAATCAATAAAAAAATATCCACACACACCTCACGCATATTCTGAGAATGCGTT